TGGTAGATTGAAGTGGCCGTTTAAAATGGAATGCATACCTCCTGATGCGTCTCGTCTCCGAACCCTGACCCCAAATCCGTTTTCCAAGTGGTTGGGAAGACTGCTTTGTAGGTCCGGGTTCGTCCGCTTAGAGTCTGCTTTTTCATATCTCGTCAACAGAAGTCAAATTATTGTCTTTCTACAAACTTCTCTTTTGAACATTCTGACTTTGACAGTGCGGCATTCTAGCGTGCTTAACGCACGGACAAGGCGTATACAGCAGAGGGAGTGTGACCACCGTCTTCAGGAACTACCCCTTGGAACAAATTTCTAGCCAAATCGAAAATTTGCACCTAAATCGAAAAAGTGGCGTATCCATGGGTACATGGAAAGCCTAGTGCCTTCGACATAAATCACCACAAATTACAAATCGCAGTAAAAGGCCGATGTAAAAAAAATAACCTTCATTTTTAGCACCGCGTTGCCAGGACCTCTTCCTGACATGACCGTTGCCCAAAACTATCGTGAAACAGCACTATTTCGAAGTAAATATAAAAACTTCAATTCCCCCAGGTTGCAGTAGAAAGTGAGTATACTGGGTCTTATGCGAAATGTTCATGCGACTCTTCTTCAACATTCTACCGCTATTTACTTTTTTTTAGCAAGGGCTTCTCTGCTTGGTGTATAGAAGAAAAGAGCACTCATAAGCCTCTACGACCTAATTGTCTTAAACGATCTGATTTTGTTGAAAACAGCAGTTTTCGGTAATATGAGGTTCCATGAGCGTGTTCATGTGATCCGCAAACGCATTGAACATAGTTCTAAAAAAGTGCGGAAAAAACCACTCCTTCGCGGACCCGAACTTGACTTTTCATTCGCGAGACAGGCATAGTATCCACTGAGCCATCGTTCCACATCCAAGTTATGCATGCGTATCGTATTCGTGCTGAACTTGGATCTGCTCCGTATCACAGCAAGTTCCAAAACTTTGCTGAGAGTCTCGGTCAGCAGACATGGAGTACAGCTTTGTAGTTAGGGTTCGAGGACCTTTCGGCTAATATGCATCATATTTCAAATAGCCACTTCGTCCCACCATCCTTCCCTGGTCAGTACTCATACTACCTCAGACGCAATTATTGATCCAAGTTACTTGAGTGTCCTTGTTCGATTTTCCTGGAACCAGGGCATTTCGAATACTGCATTATTTCTTCTGTGCCATACAGGTTGCTATGGTCCGACACATTTATTGTCCAACGTTCCGACAAGTCGTCTTCTTCAGGATCTGAAACTGGTTCGAAGTCCCAGCTCTGTTGCTCACCCGTAAAGCTCCTAATCTTATAGGTCCTCAGAAACGCGAAATGATGGTAGCAAATAAACGGTCAGAGCGAGAGAACCTGCCTGTGGTGAGTCCATCGAATCCTAGCAGCATTCTTTTGTTAGTGAGCAAATATAATAAAATGAAAGACCATTTAACAATGGAATGCCCTCGTGAACGTTAGCGATTTCTCGCGGTATTTCTCTGTGGGCCTGATTCTTCTTGTTCGTTCCATAACCATTTGCTCCTGCAATATCGGAAGCCCAGGTGACTCGTCTCGCTCCACGTCGCCTGTGCAGACTTCAACTGCTGTTGAACATGTTTAAAACAACCGCACATTTACCAGCTCTGGAGTGTGCAGACTTTGCATGAAGCAGGATGTTCTTTGAGCCGTTATTTCGCTACCTTATCTCACTATACACTGCGTCTCATAATTATACGTCCACCTAAAAATTTCCCAAAATCTCACCTATATAGACGTTTCGAAAAATGTCTTCAATGTGACAAAGTATCATAAATGGGGAATTGCTTATGAACATCAATTTCTTATTTAAGATCCTAGAATTTTTTTCCAACAATTTTTGTCTAAAAGTCAACTCTGCCGACTTCCCGAAATTATACGTCCACCTCACGTTTATCGAAGACTTTTCACTTTTCTTCCACGAAACTTTTGCATTGTCGTAACACTTCACTTTTTAAGGGGACTGCATAATAAAAACGGCTGTTGGATTTGAAAAAGGCTAGGTTGTCGCAAAAATTGTGGAACAACGCATTCACGTCAGATTTGGGCCGAATTCACGCCAAACTAAAGAACTTCTTCAGGAATTTTACATGATATGGAGTTCAGAAGAGCTTTAGGGGTCTCTCATCACTTTTCGAACGAAATCAGGGTCGTGTCACAAAAGAAACATCCACTTTCATCCAACGGTGCTCTGTCATCGCATTTTCTTCAGAACTTGATGCCTCAATCAACTTTTGTTTCATGTGTCCCAAGATCATTCTTGATTGGTAAATGTGGAAGACATTCATTTTTAGCAAGGAATCGTGGCGAAAACTGGGCTGATTCTTGCATGAAGGTGCAGCCGAGCCGACCGAGGCAAGGTTCGTTTTCGCTTGCCATGCATAAGTGCTTCTTGGTCTCTTTTCATCATTTTCTTTCTTCCAGTAGTGCTTCACTGAGAAAAAAGCCACTGTGGGAAAGGTAAACGTGAGAACAAAAACAAACAAATGCTAAAACATATCGAGCAGAAGGGAACCTGACTTCAGTCGGCTCGGGTGCACCTCCATGCAAGAATCAGCCCAGTTTTCGCCACGATTCCTTGCTAAAAATGAATGTCTTCCACATTTACCAATCAAGGATGATCTTGGCATCCTTCACACGCATGAAACAAAAGTTGGTTGAGGCATCAAGTTCTGAAGAAGATTCGATGACAGAGCATCGTTTGATGAAAGTGGATGTTTGCTTAATGACACGGCCTTGAGTTCGTTTGAAAAGTAATGAGAGACCCTCGAGGATCTTCTAAACTCCATTTCACGTTAAACCCCCGAAGAAGTGCCTTAGTTTGGCGTGAATTCGGTCCAAATCTGGCGTGAATGCGTTGTTCCACAATTTTTGCGACAACCTGACCTGCTTCAAAATCCACCGGTCGTTTTTATTATGCAGTCTCCTTAAGAACTGAAGTGTTACTACAATGAAAAAGTTTACTGGAACAAAAGTGAAAAACGTGAGGTGGACGTACAATTTTGGGACGTCGGCAGAGTGGCCTTTTAGACAAAAATTATTGGAAAAAATTCTAAGATCTTAAATAAGAAATTGATGTTCATAAGCAATTCCGCATTTATATATGATACTTTGTCACATCGAAGACATTTTTCGAAACATTTGTATCGGTGAGATTTTGGGAACTTTTTAGGTGGACGTATAATTATGGGACGCAGTGTATACACGTACCGTTCGAGATTTTTATTCGTGTGTTCAAGTAAGGTTACGATAATTAAATACGGGAACGCATAGCAAACAATGAAATCCTCCTCTCTGTAGGCGACAAAGGAGGTGAGTTCGTAGTCCGCCCTCGCATACTAGATCGGGAAATTACTGAACTCCATCTGAACGACTCGTCTATTTATAGTCGCACTACAAAGAGAGCGTTTCTCACATAATGTCACAGGTTGAACCCATCATGGATATCAACTGGAAAGTCAGCAGGATTAGTCGAAGGATTGATCAAAAAACTGAGGTTATATACTCCTTCGTGCCCCGTGTTTTATGGCTTGATCAAAACACACAAGCTGTCGGATGGAGACGTGCACCTGGTTAATGCTAGCCATTACAAATCAAAACCTATCATCTGCTGTGTGGGAGACCAACAGACAGCATTTCATGACTTCGTACTAAAATTGTTGGACAACTCATCCGATATGTACCCTTACACTTGTCCAATCCCAGAAATCTCTTGATTCTACGTTCTTGCAGATGTCAGTGATTTGATGGATTGCGCTTTATACGAACGTGAACAATAGTGGAGCCTTGCAAGCTCTGTCCGAAATCCTAGATGAGCATGGTGCAGAAATCGTAACGTTCGGATTGAGCAAAGTGCAGATGACGACCCTGATTAAAGAATGCCTAGACTATAATATTTTCAAATGGTAGGGCAACACTTCTCACAATCGGGGGCTCGCAATGGGTAGCGTCTGGCACCGGTCCTAGCTATCTGTTTTATGGGTAGAATAGAACGACCCGCATGCCCATTATGTACTGCCGATATATTGATGACTACTGCGTAATTACTTCCCCACAATTTGAAATGGATGAATTATTCAACATACTCAATCAACAGTCGCAGTACATAAAATTCATGAGAGATTTCCGCACAATGGCTGGCTATCTTACTTGAACACACAGATAAATATCTCGAAGTACGTATGTATAGTGAGAGTAGGTAGCGAAATAACCGCTCAAAGTATATACTACCTCATGCAAAGTCTGCACACTTCAGAGCTGTTAAATGTGCATTTGTGCGAACATGTTCAAAACAGCAGTTGTAGTCTATACAGGCGACATGGAGCGAGATGAAGCACATAGGCTAGCTTCCGAGATTGCAAGAGCGAATGGTTATGGAACGAACAACGAAGATTTAGGCTCAATACCGCGAGAAATCGCAAGAGCAATCGCGAAATCGCGAGAGCATTCCGCGAGGAGCCGCGAACAGATGGAGCAATTCCAATTGCCTCTCATATCGGACAGAATTAGCATGGCTATACGGCAGTGCATTCCACAAGCGGATCTAGCTGGCAGTAGTTTGATTGAAGGGCAAGTTCGCGATGAAAAAGCAACTCATTTCGAATTGACCTAGGGATGGCGAGTGGGACACAGATGAAGGAAAAACCATGAGAAACGGCCCAGAATCCAAGAAATAGGACCACTTCTTTGCCCGCTGATTTGTGCATTGACGATTCACTTCGCTGTGCCCTCTTCAACACTGCGCTCTCTCTGCTATCTTATCAATCGCCACGTATAGTAGTGCGGCAAGTGATCAGCCGGCCGGTTGGCGTGCACTGGCCCATAGCGCCAGAATTGAACCTTATTAGGTCGCTGAGGTTAACTCCCGCTTCAATCCGCACTCTCAGGAGACCGCGGGTGTCTTAACCGGTGAATTGCTCCTCTTTGACCTTCATGCTAATCGTGAATTCATCCTTTAATATACAAGTTCATTCCTGAACATCATACTAAAATCGGAACAATACAGAGAAGATTAGCATGGCCCCTGCGCAAGGGACACACAAATTCGTGAAGCATTCCAAAATTTTTTAGGGGCGGAAGTGGTGTAGTGGCAAGTGGCGCGCTCACCTCGCGAGCGGTCAGGGATCAAATCCTGGGTCGTGAGTCGCCTGGGCCATCAAGCCTTCCATCCCTCCGGGGTCAATTAATTGGTACCAGACTTGTCTGGGAGGATAAAAACACTGACTTGTACATCGGCTGGCCCCCGCAAGTCATTGTATAGGCCACATCGCATTCAAAAGCCACTGCGAATGAACAAATGGAAGTAGAATGCGTGCCGCATCTCAAAAGGGATTGATCAACGGCATGTGCTTTATCATTTATCCTTAATATACCAAGAGACAATGTCGAGCGTCAGATGATCATCAATAGACTTCATGTGCAACACGGATCACTGCGTGTTTGCCTATAGAAAGCAAGGAGCAGGCAGGTGGGATGGTATATCAACTTCAATGTTCAACCTGTGATGAGCTTTATACTGGGAGACGGGCAGGATGTTATGCATACGCCCAAAGAGCATATGGCAGGAAAAAGTCGTGGAAATCTGCTTACTCCACTTGGCAAGCACCCACTAGAAGGATACTGGGTAATGATTTTGAAATCAAATGCAAAATCCTAGCTTCCGAAAATGACGTCGATGCTAGAAAAGTGTTAGAGGCATTTTGCACACGTGGAGAATCCAAAACTAAACAACCGAAATGAATGCATGGCAATTACCGAAGAATTCTTGCCTTTCATTCCTTTATGTGGACTGTGAGATCGCCACATACGACACGTAGGACGCTGATTGTCTAATGGTGTCTCATTTCCCCCCTAACAAAAGGAGGCCGCTAGGATTTGGTGGACTCACCACAGTTAGGTCTCGCTGAGATCGTTTACTTTTCACCATCACTTCGCGTTTCTGGGGACTCATAAGACAAGGTGCTCTACCGGGCGAGCTACAGAGCTAGGACTTCGAACCAGTTTCAGATCCTCAAGACGACGATTCGTTGAAACGTTGACCAATGAACGTGCTCCTCCATAACAACCTGAATGGCACAGAAGAAACAACGCAATATTCGAAAAGACCAGGCGCCAGGAAAGCCGAACCTGGACTTCCAAGTAACTTGGATCAATAATTGCGTCCGAGGTAGCGTGAGTACTGAGGTGAGTTCACACGTGAGTGCCGTCTGATTCACAAGAAATTTACAAAACAATCGAAGATCTATGCCACTGATCTCCAAGAGGCTTGGACCAAAGGTGTACGGCGCTGAGGGCTGGTCACGTCTTAAAAAATAGAAGCCCGTCTCGGTATAATAGAGACGAAAGTGCTGCGCTGAACGGCGGGTGTCACGCGTCTAGGTCATACTTGCAATGATACAAGGATCACGCCACCAACATAGAGAAGCGTACATGGGGCAGGTTTCTGAAGATCTGAGATGACATCCAGACGACAACGAAAGGGAGTGGGGTAGCGCAGAAGATTGGTGCACCCCAACAGAGATAGGGGGTTTCCATTGAGGTGCCTGCTAACTTTGCATTCGTCCTTTAGCTCGAGTATGACATGCGAATACACTCAATAAGTTCTTCGAGGACGCCACGTCTCTAAGCGTGCCATATTACGTCTCATAGAACGCGACTAAAAGCAGATCCAGTAAAGCAAGATGTAGCGGTTTTCGTTTTTTTTTGCAGTAGACAAACGGCATGCATCGATGGTACCACATTCGCTTACAAATAGACACTGGTTCGTGGTGAGCTGCGCTATGTCACGCATGCGAATAAGGCGATCTATTAGGTTGGAGAGAATGTTCTGAAACACCCCGCAGCCAAAACTTTAAATTTATTTTTTTATCCTTTTTTTCTTCTGAGACCCGGAACATATTGACCATCAGACTTAGCAATACTACGCCAACCTTCGGACAATTGGCTGACACCACATTTATAGAAATTAGGAGAATTTTTTGTCAAACAATATCTTGAAGTCGGATTTGCAGTCTTTGTCGTCGTCGAGCTTTCTGTTCTCCAGGTAATGAGCGAGTGAGCAGGAAAGGTGGAAGAGGTGTATGGAGAGGTTCGACGAATATGGCGGACAGGCAAACGCGGCCCAGAATAGCTTGAGAATCTTGTGGCATGAAACCGAGGACCCGCGCCAACGCGCGTTGTCGTGAAGCAGATTGACTGGTCGCTGAATTCCGTGAAGCATCCTGCAATCGTTCCGAGCAGCTAGCAGCTGGTGGCCCTTGTCATCGCAAATCCTGCAGACAGATCACCACCATGGGAAATGCCGTCTAGACTCCAGAAGTTTGACAACATCACCATTCCCCCATAGTTGTCAGGTCAATTCATTGAAACTCCACTTTCCCATATTCCAAACCGCTGCTGCTTTCGCATATGGTTAGAGCAAACGGTCCGTTTGTCTTCGCCAATGGCTACATACCGCGGCCTATCGTTGCTACTGTGCGACGAGAAGTACATGTGCAGATGTCCACCCGATGAAATCGTGCGGTACCCATCTACAACATTTCCAAGACTTGTCTAATTCCTGAAGAGCCTAGAGGAGGTGCGGAGAGAGCACTCAAGACGCACTACCATACAGTGTAACGACTGTCTTGAATCATTATCGATTACAGCGCCGACGACGTCTTGATCGACAGTAGTCGTACGTTGCGTCAGAGGGATCTACTCAGCAAGATAATGTTTCTGCGTGGCGTTCAAGCCATAATGAAGGCGCCACTCAAGAGATCACGCCCCATTTTATCACTGGACAGATGAGCGTCGTGAGCTGGTGTCTCCAGGCGAGGTACGCACAAGATGAGCGCTCGGAGGGTCTCGCGGGAAAAGTTGATTTAGTGCGATGCAAACGCCATTGTCGAGAAAGCTGATTTGAGCACCGTACGCAGCACAGTCCGCTCCTACTATGTACCATGCATGGAAAATTCCAGAGCATTCGGGAGAAATCCAGAAAGAGCGCAAGTTGAGTGTTCTAGAAATTTCTTTCCAACCTAATATAATTTGCTCAAATGTCTTCATGCTGTAATAAAGCAGTCGAATTGAGCGGCAGCTCGTGCAGTGTGTAGTGCTTCCCTTCTTCTTCCAAATCGGAATCGTTGTGCTCTGATGCAAACTCTCAGGCACTTCCTCTTCTGCAGCGACTTGGTTAAAGAGTTCGTCAACCACTGCTGCCATGTCGTAAGGATTAGTTGCTTCACATGATTTCATCTTCTTCAACGCTGCTTCAGTTTGTTTTTCTTTTATCTTCGTGACAAAATCGTAGACCGGAGGAGCAAAAGGAGTAGGCGAATATAAGAATTATACCGTCGAGATGTTCCCGTTGCAGTCTGCCCATGCTCGTCATTATTGCCGGAAACCTTTTCGACATCCTAGGCTTGGCGACGGCGAGCTTCTCCTAGTCTGTAATCATATCGTTCGCTTTCGTTCGCTTTTCGAGTTTCTTGCTACGCATTGAAGTGGGTGGTTTTGACGACAAGCACGGCTTTTTTTGCGGTTTGTTCGCCTCCCGGTAGCTGTTCCCGTTCTGGCTGTTGTGTCGCTGAGAAACGTATCATAAAGTCCTCCATATTCGCCTTTCTTGAAATCTGGGCATTTTGTTGTTGAACAGTTGGTTGTTGTTTGTGTGCCACACAGATTTTTACGGTGGAATCTTTATTGAGCCTGACGTTCCGACTATATCGTCGTTCTCGAAGGCCTGAAAGCGTTTTGAAAAACTCAATGCTACCTACCGCTCAATATGGATCCACATTTGATAAGGTACCACGTAGGCCAATGAAATTAGGAGTGGGAACTACACGATTGGGTTGCTTACCTCAACTCCACCAGCGTCACCACTTCTCGCTTAACAGCCTCCTATGATGTTCTCCAGAGACAGTAGAACAAATGAAACAACCAGTCGTGCACTGGTTGTCTAGAGCGTACGTGCACTGCATGACGTTCTCATTATCATAGTTTACACAGACGGATGTAGGGCATGAGGTTGGCAGTTATGGAGATGCATTCGCTTCTGTTATTAATGCAAGGATTACGTTGCCTTGTATATAAAGCTTCGAGGGTCTTTCTCGCACCAATATCGTTTTTGTAAGCTAATATTGTACACGTTACTTCAGAATCACTACCAGCATGACATTCCCTTTTGTGCTTACTAAGCGGTGCAGCCGTGCTCTCTCTTCCTTTGCTAGTCAGATGTTCTCTCACTCGTACGCCTGATTGTCTGCCAGTCTCTGCAATGTACAAGACATCACATGTTAAATGAATCTTCCACGGGAAGACTGCTTATCCTTTCTTTGTGTACAGCTGTTGGCCATGATCATTGAAGACCATATGCAAAATTCAGAGCGAAATGATGAAACTCCCAAGGGGAACAGCCCTTGGAAAGACCCATCTGTGGGACCGGATTGAACCAGTAGGCGGGACCGGAAGTGCTTCTGTGACGAAGTGCGTGGCAGGTGCGGATCCACGTGTCAGTTTATGTGAAGGGCCCAACATGAATCTAGTTCACGTTCACGCTTTTGACACTATTGCACGTGTTAACTCCACGCCGCTAACAGTTGGAAGTTTTACAGTGGGAATTTAAAATTTTCTTCGACCTGGCTATCATAAGTGTTATCAAAGGCAACGCCTATGTTCCGTTCTTGTTGCTATCTTCATGAAGCAAAGAGCCTAAGGTATTGTTTTATTTTTGTAGAAATGAAGGCGATGTTTTTCCGTGGAAGATTCCATTAAATAATGAAGCTGGTAAACCACAGATCTTTGTGCAAATGGTACAAAAGTTGGAGACTGTGCACGAAGATTTGTTTACCAGCTTCAGTGTTTAACATGTGATGCCTTGTACATTTTAGAAACTGGCAGAGAATTAGGCGTACGAGTGAGAGAACATGGCTAGCAAAAGAAGAGAAAGCGTGGCTGCCCGCTTAGTAAGCACAAAAGGGAAAGTTATGCTGGTAGTGATTTTGAAGTAAAGCGTGCAATGTTAGCTTACGAAAACGATATTAGTGCGAGAAAGACCCTCAAAGTTTTCTATATAAGGCAACGTAAT